TAAATCAATCAAAAAGACTTCTCTACAACTGCATGAGAACTAATAATAATAAAAGATAGAAATATTATTGAACTGAAATTTTTTTCATTATAATCTGGTTGATAATTTCGTGGCATTTATTTATTGAATAAAATTTCCAATATATGTCCACCGCGGCTACGAGTTATATCGTCCATTCCATCAGTTCAATTTTTGACTAGTTTTTGCAATAAATGTGACCGTATGGCGCCAATGATGACATGAACATTGGTTTTTAATGCATCAAGAGTTGCTGGTTGCCGGTATAAAAAGTAATCGGCAGGCGTTAAATAGCACGAACAGGACCACTTCTCGAAATAAAGTTGTTACCAAATTGATTTCACAATAAATCTATTGTTAAGCGCGCTGTAAGAAAAGTTGCATCGTCTTTTTGGAACCAAATGTCGTTTTATGTCGATGATTAATTTTTGAAAACAAAAATTCAGGCGAGCGCATTTCTCGATAGCGCTCGCCATTCACCATAATAGCAGTTCCATCCTCATTACGAAAGAAATATGGGCCTATGATGCCACCACCGTATAAACCATACCAACTAGACAATTTTTTTTGTATTGTGGATGGTTTTGAATCGAGAATAGTAAAGTTAGTAGGAAAATGGTCAATAACTGTACGAATTACTTGCTCACTAGACCGATTATGTTAAACGTAAAATGGACAAAGTGTACAGTTTTAGTTTTCAAAACAAATTTCCACAATTTGAAATCGTTGTTCTAGCGTTAAACGATTTATAATGATTTGCTAAACCTTACTGAATAGAAATGTGAACACAATTTGATATTTTGAACTGTCAAACCATAGTTATCGGTATCGATAGTTCTCATGTATTTTAAAAAACATCCTATATATTGGTGTGTGGTCTTCATTTGAAAAAATTTCTTAGTCATATCTTTGTTCCCCTACAAGTTGATAATGATTATCGTATCGGAATGTAACATGAACTGTACAAACCTTATCATAACAGTACATCGATACTTCGGAGATAAAGGTGTTTGAAGTTTCTCAAGTAGACTGAGGGAGTATTAATCTCCATGGTTACAGATTACGTATATATATACGAAGAGCATGCTTTCAAGACCTTCGTGTCGCAGTCGGATACAAGCGGACATTCCCACAACACTAAGTTAAAAACTGTTATTAAAAGATTCAGATTTGGAATGCACATGCATAAATAAGTGAAAATGTTCCGATTATCGACTCGAAATTTATGTTAATAAAAACATAATGTTTTGTTAATTAGTTATAATTAATATTATTAACTATCTTTGATTTAAGCAACACATATAGAAACAGTGCTATAGAAAATCCGCACAGCATCCTTCATATTAAGGCGCGCATCAACACTGACCTCCATCTGCCACTCATCTGCTATGGATTCATAGTACTACACTTTACGATTAAGAGATAATTAATCAAACTAAACCATAATTGTATTTCGTGAGCAAATGCATGGATTGATTAACATTGATTGATTGATTCTGGCATTCCATATACCATATACTGATAACACATTAAGTTCTTATTAAATTAATTTTATATAATTTAAAATCTTAATTTAAGCTTAATATATATTTTCAAACCTACTTTTAAGTCAGAATCATATTCAAAAGAATATTTTTTAAAATATTTTAAATAAGTATGTAAATTAAACGTTTTTAATTACTTTTCCGTGTTCTCAAATTAATTTCAGATTTTTATTAAATTTTGCTTTTAAATGCACTTTGCTCATCGGTATTACCTTCCCGTAATGCACATCCTGTCATCGTCGCATTTTTATGTAATTTAGTGCAAACATTGATTTCGGAATTATGTTAAAATGCTTGTGATTACTATTTACTTAAGCTGCAGGATATTCCTGTACAACATCCTGACATCCTGCATAATTTCCTGTTTAAAATGTACCGTTAATGAAATAACAAATTGGCAACAGTTTTTAAAAGTTACTTAACGTAAAAGCGAAAAGTATATATCGCAAGAAACGTTTGCCTCTACGAGGCACCAATATTTGAGCTAAGTAAAGTACTTTCGTATTTATTCTTAAAACTCTAATTACTTTAATGGCATATGATCGCTTTCTGGCACATTTGTGACATATGCGGCCTGGCACATTTCGCATACGACAAACTACTTGTTAGCATGCGCCACCAAGAAAAATGGAGACAGGCGAAGCGTACGTCGTCAGCTCATTTGAGTAAATATAAGTCAAGTGCTACCAGTGTTGAACAACAGCTGAAGAGGTGCTTGTAGTATGTTTCATTGCCCACTAACATGCCCACATATGCCACTTGGCGCAGCCAGCAAACCTCCAATTTTGTTTTTGTAGTTGTTGGGATGTCTGTTCATATCAGTATCTGCCTACCTGCCAGTGCTACTGATAGGCCACTTTCTTTATGAGCTACGCCAGAACAGTGGCACAAAGCAAGAAACACTTCATTTATCCAAACAGTCTCATGCCAGGAGTTGAGTTCAGTTGAGTTGAGTGGAGCAGAGCAGAGCAGAGTAGAGCAGAAAGCCATTATGCAGGTAGCAAACTTTAGGCTTCTGTGTTAAGTATGCGCCGTTTCAAGATTTTTTCCTTTTTTACTATACGCTCCGTTATGTGTTTCTGTCCTAAGCGCAGAAATAAAAAGAAAATTATAAGAAATTCGGAGCATTTATTTATAGTTTATTTAAGGACTGCATATGCTTTTAAGTGTCCTGTTTATGCACCTGGCACCTTGAGTGCTGTGGAGCAGCTTGAAATATATATGTATGGTATACTGCTTTCTTCTCACGATTAAGTAGAACGTCCCGTTTAAGTCGTTTAGCATCTGCGGCACATACTTTTTAAGCTATAGTCACTTTCTTGTCGTCTTCCACATTTTAATTAAAAGAAACTTAAATTGTTTATTTGCTGACATCACATATGAAATATTTATGAATAAATATTTTATTTTAAGTGCTCTTAGGAAATTCGTAGTATGTTCAGTTCGAAACTTGAAATTTTCTCCTATCACGACAACAAATATTTTTGTTTAAATAAAAACTTTTTCCTTGAACCTGGCAAAGAAATTAATTTGATATAAATTGGCATTTTCTTACATTCCCAAATGAGAATTTTAATTATTGAAATGGAATGCTTATCTTTGCCCAGAGTTTTGTATTTCATTTTTAATTGACTCAATGAAAGCAAATACACGGTGACTGAGTTAACGCAACGAAACGAACTGTAACCAAATCCATTAAAATAATTAGTAAGCACACACACGTACGTACTACGAACGAACCCCCGTTTGAAAGAAATCTTAATTAGCATTTCGATATAACCGCCAACTAAGTTAAATAGATAGAACCAATCTATACAAATTCATTATAAAATACAAGCACCAGTGGCACGGTTTTCGAAATCATAGGAAAACCTTGAACGCTTGGCGGAAAAGCGATTTATTTAGCTAAACTAAAAACAATCGTCCTGGCGTGGCAGAAACTAATTTGGTTTTTTTTTCTTCTATTTTTCATTTCAGATGGTTACCGAAATCTGCAATGCGGCCTGTTGGCCCCGAAACATCACACACCGACTGCATTTTGGTCGTCGGTGTATCCCGTCCGAAATTAGCTGTAGTCTTTATAACCGTTATGTTAATATCCTTATTTCTAACATTTCACGTTCTCTACGACAGTGCCGTTTACAACATACAAGCAGCGCAGGCGGTCTCCGAACATCGTCGCCTGGCCATATTAAGCACTAATCGCTTGCCGGAATATAACAAACCCGTCGCTGTGCCGTCATCCACCAATCAAATTAGTCATCCCATGGTGTTTCCGTCAAATCGTGTGCACTTCCCCAAAACAAGTCGAAGATTACCACAAGTAAGTAAATATGAATGGCAGTCAAGTAGTGACTACCTTTAATTATATGTACAAAATATATTTTTAGATAAATAAGTATTTCTAATATTTTGTTTACCAAAGAGCTAGGAATATCACGCACTGGGCATAGAGGAATTAAATGTCCTGTAGAAACTTATAAAAATGTTGTTTATGGTAGCTTACGTTAATTTGAATTATTTTTTATTTAGTCTAAGATTAAATAGACTGCTGACGTATTTAGCATTGATTTACTTACAGTTTAAAATAAAATGAAATAATTTTTTATTAAAAAATTTTTTTTACTTAACAAAAAACCTAACATTGGTTTGTAAAACTGACAGGGTTGGAAATATTTAAATAATATTCAGTTTTTACTAGATATACATAAAAACTTTTATTCTCATCTGCTAAAGATTTATTATTCATGAAATAACTCAAATATATATTTATAGAAAAAAATGAGAACACTTTTTTATATATAATAATGATGGCTTTGACTACATTATTGGTAACCACTACTAACCCACGTAGTCGAAAAAAAAATTGAATGCTAAAAATCAAGGCAGCAAAATTTGATTTTATTGCCTTCCATCATATCACTTAACTAATTAATTATTTAATTAATTAATTAATTATTAAAAAGTAAATTAATAATTTAATATTAAAAATAATATAAAAAAAATGTGACTAAAAACAATTTTTACTCTTGCAAAATAAGTACTTAACTATATTCCCAAACCAGTCATATTATTAATATTATACAATTTATTGTAAATATAATACTACATTTATTATATATTTGTCATAAAACAAAATTATTTGTTATTATTATTTGATTGTGTAATTATTACAACCATTACAGAAAAAAAAGTGTATTAGGTTTGTCAAGATATTTTTAACGCTTTGAAGAGAAAGTCATAGACCTCATTAAGTCGTGTATTCATATATATATATATACAAGTTTAATTCATTCTGTATGTTTTAGTTCAAAGCAGCCTCTCCGTTTTTAAAGTAAGTAAATGAAAGACTTTTGCCACATACTTCTCTGAAGTGGATTATTTAATCATTTGTCAAATTGATTAAAATCAGACCACTGTATCCTATAATTGTCTAATTTGTATGAACTTAAGAAATGGATATGAGTTTTCTTCGTTTTAAGTAAAGATATAGAAACATGGTTTCTCGGAAGTGGATTATTTAATAATTTGTCAGGTTGATTAAAATCAATTATTGTAATAATTACAGCACAAACATTTTTAAGGGTTTAATCAATTTTTGTTGAAACACAACCTTTAAGTCCCTGTGTACAATAGGAACTAAGTTCAAATGACCAATTATTCTAAATAATAAATAATAATGAAAAATGTCAGACATTCTAGTGAATATGTCCTGCTGGCTTTAAACAGTACTTAGGGTTGCCTATGCTCATAATATAAGTACTATAACTAACCATACGTTAGTTATATATAACTATAGGTTTATTGACTATAACTATATATTTATATAAAAATTTAGCACATTATAATTTTTTATTAATTATTAGTTTGTGAAATGGTAAATTATGAAATACTACAATACTACAAAAATTCATATAACTATCTATCATTAGTATAACAACGTGCCATTATTTGTGCTTTGGTGCACAAGGCTGGCAGACCAACCTAACAACCTTACACATATATGTAACCATCTATGTAGAGTTATTGAAAGGATTCATTTCATATTAATACTTCAGTTGTTATCATTATATAATATATAATTTATTATGATATAATTTATTATGATACTATAAATATATTTTATCACTTCTTTTTTATAATCAGAATAGTTTTTAATGATTATATATATATATTTATGATTATATATAATATATTAACATAATTTATTGTGTTGAAAAATAAATGCAATCGATTTTACTAATTGTAAAAATTCGTTCATTATCATCGTACGACAAATTAACCTTAAAGTGCATTAGCTTTTCGTTAATTATAGATTTTGATCTATTTGCTCAGTCAATTATTAATTTTTTTATATCTAAACTACTTATTATAAACTACTTATTAGAAATAACGTCATGGGCATCCCAAAGCAATTATATTTTCATATACAAATTTTAATTACACTTCAAAAGCAAAGGCTCAGTATGACTGCGTTCTATTAAAGTTAAATTAACTTTACTGTTAATTAAAACTAAAACAAAAAAATGTTTAATTAATTACTGAGTAAATTTTTGAACTTAACTAAAACTTTAGGTATGGCAACCTTTTGTTTAACTTTAATAATTAGCTTCGTCATATATGTAATATTCCGTGCAGTAATTCATATCACAGAGAAAAACTAAATCACTATATAGAATATGTAAAAGGAAGCAGTAATTAACTAAACTTATTGCAATTATCTCTAATACAAAATAATTTCATATAATCTGTCTTTCTCCTTTCTTGACTTAGGCTCTCATAATTGGAATTCGTAAATGTGGTACACGTGCTTTACTAGAAATGTTGTACCTGCATCCTCGGATACAGAAAGCAGGTGGAGAAGTACACTTTTTCGATCGTGATGAAAACTATGTGAAAGGCTTGGAATGGTATCGGAAAAAAATGCCACACTCATTCCGTGGACAAATTACCATCGAAAAAAGTCCGAGTTACTTCGTCTCACCAGAGGTAAGTGTATGACAGGAAGTTTTTTTGCAAGAAATGTATTTTATACCAATAATGTATGATTAAGTTATGGCTTTTAACAAAAGTTTTTTTTATACATTGTGACCGAAAGGTTTCCGGAAATTTTAAATAAAACGCAAAATTCTTAATCTTCATCAATATTTATTTTATCTCCTTCAAAAATATGCTCCATTAGAAGCGATACACAAATGCCAACGTTTCTTCCAATCATCAAAACATTTTTTATTGGCGCTTTCCGGTATGGCTTTGAGTTCCCTCTGCGAATTCTGTTTTTCGTCTTCTATGGATTCAAAACGCGTTCCTCTGAGTGGTAATTTGAGTTTGGGAAACAGGAAAAAGTCACACGGTGCAAGATCAGGTGAATACGGTGGCTGTTTGATGGTATTTATTGAATGTTTGGCCTTAAAATCGTTGATAATGTTGGCTCGGTGCGAGGGAGCATTATCGTCATGAAAAATCCATGAATTATCCTTCCACAATTGAGGCCGTTTACGGCGGATAGCTCTCACGACCGATGCCTAGCTCTCGTGCTATCTCTCTAACACTCACATGAGGATTTTGGAACACGATTTCCTTTGCCTTTTCAATGTTTTCGTCGGTGGTAGAGGCCGAAGGTCGTCCAGAACGCGGCATGTCTTCGACGGTCGTACGACCGTCCTGAAAGGCTTTGTACCACTCATAAACTTGAGTTTTCGATAAAACTGATTACCCATAAGCCTTTTGTAGCATTCGCAACGATTCTGCACACGAAATTTCGTTCGAAACACAAAATTTGATGCAAACTCTTTGTTCAATATTTTTTTCCATTGTTTTTTCGCAACGCACTACTGAGGGGAACTGGTTTCAACAGCTGCCGTAAACGAACTGTCTGACAGATCGCGCTCATTTTTGGCATAGTAATTAAGGACAGTGCTGCCAAACTACATAAACTTAAAATATCGAAAAATATACAGCGCGCGAATTTTAAATGAGAATTTCCGAAAGCTTTTCGGTCACAATGTATATTACACTTAAACACTAATATTAAATAGTTTCATGTTTAATGAGGCAATGCTTCAAATAAATTTTCCAGAAACTTTATTAAATATCAAATCTTATACAATCCAGTTCCACATCTTCTCCTCATTCTTCCACTAGCATTATAGTTTTTATAAAATATACTTTTTAATTTATATGTGTTCTTTAAAGTTCTACTTTAAGAGCTTGAATAAATATTTTCTTCTTTTTGTGGTGGAAGAGTTTTCACAATATCCTATCTAAAACTGTGGTAATATATCGTCGCTAACCATTTAAAGTACCTGCTCAACGGAAAGGATGATAAGACAAAATGAAAATGCTAGCATTAATTAAAAAAACTCTAAAATAATATTAAATATCCTGTTTTGCTTGGCGCTTGTTGTTTTTCTGTTGACAATTGTAAATGCCATGCACAGGTCCTAGTATTCGCGCGATAGTCGTCCTGTCGCAGCACATAGTCGTCCTGTCGCAGCACATAGTCGTCCTGTCGCAGCGCAGAGAAAAGTTATTAAAAATTAAAGCAAATAAAAATAAACAATTTTTATTGCCATTGTTCGGCGATGCATAAAAAGGAGTTTCATAGCTTCTGGACTGCGGAAACTGCAGCGACTGGAGCGACTGCGGCGACTGCAAATAGCTGGAGAGGAAGAATCTGAAAAGTTAAACTCCACTAAATTTTTTGATTTTACAGGTTGGAAAGCGAGGTTCTGTCGTTCGCAGTTGCCTAGCTGTGTATTTGAGTTAGAAGTTCCGCATTTGTAATTCACAATTGCTTTCGACATTGTTGCTGAAACTCCTCTTGCAGTTTTGTAATTTTTATGAGTTTAATGCTGCTGCATTTGCCGTTCTCGGTCTGTAAAAACTAGAAGAAATAAGTGCTGTTGAATTATTAAGGCGTTGCATGTATTGTGCGGTATCCACCATGGCCGGCAATGCAACCAACGCATTTGTTGTTCAATTGGGGCGCCAAATATGTGTGATACTCGATTCACATTGTTAGCATGACATTAAGAGTGTTGATTGTGTTGCTGATTTTTAACCGTACCAATAATTCTCGATGTATTGATTTACGATTCCAACCGTATCAATGCAATAGCACTGTTAATGCCAACCGTATCTCAGTACCAAGTACCAATAAAGCTTAACGAAATTTGCAGTTAGTTTAAAAACGGTGCTGCAACTGCTGAGTGGTAGTAGAAAATCCATTTGCACACTGCCACATAGTAAGACAATTGTGCTTTTCAGGTGCTGCACTTATGCACTGTGATGTTGCAACATTAGCAGTGCTGCGTATACAAAGCCGTAAAGTGCAACTACAGCATTACTGGGTAGAAATCTGCTAATAAGAAAAACACAACAAAATACGATTTTCACTTATTACTTCCATTTTGTATTTTCCGCTTCATAATTTGTGTAACTCACGACTTAAATGTTGCAAATTTTTAAGAGTTGCACTGCTGGAAAAATAGTAATAGTAGTAAAGATGAATAAATAAGAAAATATCTCGGTACGGTAAAAGGTTTAATGAACCACAGCTAAAACTTGCACACAACCCAGTACACGAATACACTCAATCGCATTCATGCAAAAGTGCTAAGACTGCTTAAATGTAGAGCACTTCAGTTTTTGTGCTTCGCCCCGAATGTGGCATGCAACAGCACAAGCAGAGCTATTTTACGAGAATTTTACAGCTGCTATAAATCTTCATTACATGTATTATGTATTAATATTTATTGACAGTCTGACAGACAGTGAAGCGCTACACGGCAAAACAAACAGAAGCGCTGGTGTGGTTCATATGTGAGAGCGACGTTCCCGGATTTGGTGATGCAGCAAAGAGTCACAGTTTTATGATAAATGTTGCATGACACTTTCTGTTTGCCCTCCACTCTTCAGATTTATAGACAGTTCGTTGTTTATATTTACATATTTCTCTCCGCTATACGCTTCGAAACTTCGAACTCCGATGACAGGGTATAGCAAAGTAGTCACTAAACCCAGTTGCTGCGAAGGCTGTTGAATTTGTATTCTATAAATCTTCTTCCATTTTAACGACTACGAATGCAACGATTGGCACTTTAGCATTGTTATACGACTCCTTTTGGACGAATTTAAAATAACCTTTTGGCTTTGAATATAAGTAACCAGACTCTTTCGACGAATTCGTAAATAATTTAGTAAGAGTTTGTCAATATGAAAAGCTTTTTTTATAAATCTAGATCATTTATTATTTTAGTTATATTCAGGAAGAAATACAGACGGTAGCCCTGATAAAATTTTCCTTTTATGCAGTTCAATTATAATCATGGTAATCTTCAACTACCAGACTTAGTAAATATTAATTGACTATATACGGATAATCACATTACTTCTGTTTTTACTTTTAAGTTAAGTTAACAAGTTGTTAATTTAACAGAGCAATTCTTGCAAAAACAGTTAAAAGTCTTCCAAAAGGTCGAACGAGAGAGTGTTTGAAAGATTCTTGCTATTCAGTCACAAAAGTCTTCAAAAATCTATTAAAAATAGAATTAGAAGCAATTGTTCTATTTACACAAATATTTATCAACTAATTAATTAATTAAAGATCGAGTGGAAGATTGTTTGAAAGATTTTTACTTTTCTGGCACAAAAGTCTTTAAAAATCTATTAAAAATGGAATAAGAAACAATTGTTCTATTTTCACAATTTTTAATTAACTAATTAATTAATTAACAATTTTTATTGTAATTTTTATGTATTTTATTTTACATAAAAAAAAATTTATATAGCACATATATCATTTGGACCGAAAAGAGCTTTCTGTGTTTCAAGAAACTACTGTCGAATAAAGAAAATTCTTTCAAACGATCTTTCGAAAGATTTTTCAATGTGATGAGCTGAAAGATAGTTGCCAGAATTTTGCTGTACACCTATGTAGTAACTATAGTATGTCCAATTTAAATAGGTAATTTTAATTTATTATTAAAAAAATAAAGACTTACATATTTATCATAGTCTGACAGTCCCGTCAATCTCTCTTTACCATTTAGTTCTGTTCGACATTCACTATATTAAACAGGGCCTAGGATCTAAAAGTTAAAAACATTATTAAGTATTTCAAAACTCCAAACTTATATAGGGTAAGTTAGGATAATCTGTGCTGGGAAACACTAATGGATCGATGTGTACCATTGTCCATTCAAATAATAATCACTCAGTTCTTTATCTAGTTTTGCGAGTTTTTATCATAGCAGCTAATAATCGTTCACTGTGGTTTGATGTTTAATAAAAGAAACAAAACTACTTTTTTCTATTTTTGTGAAAAACTAATGAAAGATATCTGTTGTACTAAAAAAATACTTAAAATTCAAAATTTAAAAAAATCTATTGGATCAAAAAAAAAATTAAAAAAAGTGCATTTTAACTTTATCATATGAAGCTACTCTCGCAAATAGGGCGTATGCGCTATTATAGTGCTTACGTGCTTTTCGTACCACATTTTTCGAAGTTATGGCAAAAGCTTAAGAATACAATCCTAAGAATAGTAGTTACCTCTTCTCAAAACTATTTGCAATAAACAGTTTTACTGGTCGACTCCGAGTTTTCGTAGAAATTGAGAAAAACAAATATTATTACAAATTTAATTTCCAATTTACAGCTGCTGAAGTAGTTTAACCATCATTGGGAAGACTGCATCAATAATAAAACAAAAATAATAAATTTATTCCAAGAAATAAAAAACAACATAAAAACCAAAAACTTTCATTTCTATATTGGGTTTAACACTTTACGTGCACTCTCAGCATTATGCATACTGAGGTTTATAGTGAGAATGCAAATCGGAATCAACTAAATCGCGTTTTATTGGTGCCGTTCAAGACTCATATAGACACGGGCACGTATTGTCACAAATTTTGTATAAGTCGATAATTTCCGAAACATATACAAAAGTTCTGTCATCTACTTAATAGTTATAGCCCAATAAA